GTCTGGCCTCAAGGAAAGCCAGGTGAGCCACTGCTGCAGCACAATCCCCAGTCTATTTGATGAGGAGACCTCATGCAAAATTGATGTGAACCTCAAGGTCAGTGGGAGTTCATTCAGAGCATGCTCAGATCAGCCTATGCCTGCAGCAAATAGGACTGTTCACCTGGACTTAGTGTAAGCTCCTCTCAGGCTTGATGTGGTCTTAGATCCAATGCGTTTCAGTTTGGGCTGCGCTAACATTAAGACCTCCGCTCTGTCTGCTTCACTCGTCTGTTTTACTGATGCCTTCTGAGCCATTTCAGATTTGGGCTGCGCTAACATTAAGACCTCCACTCTGTCTGCTTCACTCATCTGTTTTACTGATGCATTCTGAGCCATTTCAGAAGGAATTATACTGGGAAGGAGGATTTCTACAGCTTTAAATACTATTTCAAATATTGCTATGATGGTTTGTGCTCATTAATGAAAGGCTGGTCACAAGTAGAAAACTGGTCATCAGTTCCTGCTAGAGTTGTTTCACTTGACCTTTCTCTTTCTTATGACCTTTGTCTATCTTATGGCTTTTGACCATTGAAATCAAAGAGTATCCAGTAAAGTTATCCAGTATTCTACAAGAAAAAGGGCAAAAATGAAAGAAATGTCAGGAATATGCAACGTGATTTTGTTTCTTATCTTCTTTGAGACCTCCCAGATTTAAACTGGGACCCCTTGGGGGTTACAACCCTCAGCTCTAAAACAGGAAAAAATTAACCCTATGTACGTTTCATTGTCTTAAGAAGAAAAGAATGATTCACTCATCCCCTGTGTCAGAATCATTCACCAGTAGGTTTTGTAGTTTTGTGGTTCAATCAATAATCACTGGCCATAATTAAACTTAACAACAAGTGAGTGGTTTATACATTGTAACTAACAGATTTATTAATGGTACTGTAATAAATAACTGACCATGCTCTATAGATCATTGTATGACATAAATAGGCACAATGTTTGGGTTGCCAGGTTGTGGAAAATCCTCCTTCAGACACTTGATTTGTAGTTTTTCCTTTGCTTTTTATTTCAATAGATTAAATTATGGTAGGAAACCTTTCTGAGTTACCCACATTTACAATGTCTTACTTGTGGTTTATTACCTTTTTAAATGACATTTGTAATTACAGATTACCTACTAGCTTTGTTGACATGCTAGAAAATGAGAAATGCTTGACCTTTGATTGCTGACTTATTAGCATTTAAAACTCCTCAATGGTGTATTAACCTTAATGGCACACTAACATTTTAACAGCAGGCAAGATAGTTTTACAGTTTGATAATGACTTATTAATATTATTTAACAATAATAACAATTTTATAATAATGAACAGAATTTTAGAAATGTGATAGATTATTTTACAATTTTATTTAAAAAATCTGTATTTATTGAAATATTTTGATATTTCATAACATTTGGAGTTCCACAGTTTTCAGTGAATAGTGAAACTGAATGTTTTTGGATACAGTTAGTAATCTTTACTGATCAGTGAAATTCTTCGGAAACATTAGTTATCAATGAAGCACAAAGTCAGGCTGCAGGAGCAGAGACTAAGCCTGATATTCATCCTGACAGAATGACATCATGAAATTGTGCTTAATCACTGGTGTGAGAATTGTCCATCCAGTGGAAGTGTCAGACTTGAAGGTATATATTGATTATGGTTTATAATGATGTGGTGTACAGTGTGTTCTGCTGATGTGTTTTCATGTGGTTTCTGAGTGTGTATTTTTTTCACTCATTTCTCACTATCGCCACATGAAAAGTTACAAGTGCAGGTTTATTATTTTGTTAACAACTTGTCAGGAAATACAGGGAGCGGTGTAGTGTACCTGATGTTCTACACATACACACACAGAAATTAGAATTATCCTGTAAATAGCCAGGAAATACAGGGAGCGGTGTAGTGTAGCTGATGTTCTACACATACACACACAGAGAAATTAGAATTATCCTGTAAATAGTTCAGGTTACATTAATGTTAGGAATCAGTTTTACGACTTATGGCAAAATGACATAAGCCCGTTCATCCTGTTCATTTTTCATTACCTTGAAATCCCATCCACCTTTTCTAGGTTTAAATGAAAAGGCAAACAAGAGTGCCAGATTACCCATGTCTTCTGATATCAGGTCCTGTCTCAGGTGTTTCTCCAGCTAGACTAGGTACAGTAGGTGGTAGGTTTACTGATCGTGTTAGCCATGCAGAGACACCATCACACCAGACCCGTTGCCTGCTCTAGGCTGCCCCCCTTCCTATCCAATTAAGTTCAGTCATACTGGGTGGCTGCAAGTCTGACTAGCTTCCCATCCTTTTCCATTTAACCTCCTTGCCTCTTGCACACACATGTATCCTCCATTTGGCACAAACAGAAGAGGAAAACAACAGTTAGGAATAATTCAAATGAAGAAATACGCGGACTTAGTCAAAAATCACTTTTATGTATCGTAGTGTGTACATTTTCATATATGTTTTTAGATGTATGAGCTTTGTCAAGACAAGTGTAAGGTGTTTCAAAGTAATATCACAGTTGGAACAGTGACAGTATCAGTCAGATTAAGTGACTGGCACAGACTGTTAGATGAATAATGCAGGCAACAAGATGAAAGACAGCTTTGTCTTTTGTAGTCTGTCAGGCAGGAAACTGGGGAGAGCCATGACTGGCTTTAAGACTGCATGAAGCATCATCCTAACTGTTAGTTTGCCTGGGACAAGGAAAATGATATTGATTTTTTCCCCCTTTTTTATCATTGGAATTGTCATTTCACAGTCCTGTCGCTGAGGCAGATTTATGCTCAGTATTCCAATAGTTTCTCAAATCCTGGAAGGAATTGGAAAGTTATTTTCCATCTGTGTTAATGCTCTGAGATAAGGTCCTGTTATCCTCCATACTCCTGGAGGTATCACTCATCTTGCATTTACTTCAAATATGTCAGGCTCAAAAACTATAGATTTCAGAGAACTATGTACAATATAACATGCTTTCATTGCCCAGCATCAACATTATTCAGTGTGTTGTCTCTGTTGGTCAGTGTGATTAATAGCTGTCACATCTGCAACTCACCACACATATCATGACCTTTCTTTGAAGGAAATGGTCTGTAGACAATAGAGTAATAAGATGTCAAAGCAATAAGTCAGAAACACAAAACTGTAAACATAAACCAATTAGAAGGCACAGAGAGCATTACTCTGCCAAGGATGCACAATCCTTTAGAGTTGCAACTTTAATGACACAAAATGCTGACATTACATTGCACATACAGCAGAATCCAGGGATTAATTTTTTTAAATTCTAGTATGTACAGTAATTGATGAACAGTTAAAAGCAAGAGCTAATAGAGAATGTGAAGTTGACGTCACATCAAGTTGAATTTTTTGGTAAATGCATAATGTGCTCATTATCAGTCATAGATGTATACATTACATAGCCTGCATCTATAATAATAAATAAATAAATAAATACTATCCCATAGAGCTATACATACAGTATCAGATGCCTCAACTACATCCAAACATATACCATACTGTTAGGTTTGAGGACAGACAGGACAGAAACTGATCCATCTGCAGTGTTTGTCATCTGCTGACAGCTGCTAGCTAGCGTTAGCTTCCAAACCGAGAGCTTATGGTATATCAGTATACAGTCATTTTTCAGTCTGTCGGTCTCGTAGTCTTGGCAACCCTGTTTGGCAGATGTATGAAGAATTTATAAACCTGTAATATGTATTTTTTCTGCACTCATTTGAGATGTTATCATTCAGTCAATGCCCCATTATCACTTGCTGTCAGAACATAGTTCTCAGCAGGTCCCTACCCACCCACTAGGAAGTTCAGTAAGTCATTGCCATTCCAAAAAACCTTTGTTTTTGTGGTTACAAACATACAATAACAAACATGGAGCATTCTTCTTTTACATTCATTGTGAGGCTTAGGCACAGTGTGGTTAGGTTTAGGCACCATAGCTACTTGGTTAGGTTTAGGGAAAGTTTTTTAATGGTCAAGGACACAAAACACAGTGTTTCTTTCACATTGGAATTGATCACCATTATATACTGTGTTCCCAAATTCAGTCTGTGGCTTGGTCACCATTACTGCCAGCAGAGACCACCTATGTACAATGGGTGCAACGTTATGAACAAGAACAACCTCCTGATGTCCTGGGAGGCACAGGCGGTTCCCCCTGAACTATATTTATATTGTGATAACAATTCATAATGACCACTGAATAGCATGGCAGCATTCAAACTGGTTTTCTTATAACATACTTTTACTTAAATAAGATTTTGAATGTAAGTGTTCTATATGTAAAAGACTACTTTTAAATTGTGGTATTGCTGTTTTTACTTACATAAAAGATTGTATTACTTGTTCCACTATAGACTAACACTAAAACACCAAAAATAGCATTTCAAAATGATGCTGTTTACTATGCTGTGAAACATAATTTCCTGTATTGTTACATGCACAAAACCAGATGCTCCCTGGCAATATACACCACATTTCACTGAAGTCTGTCAGCATGTTGTATTTCCATAAAATGTGAAGGAAATCTGTAAACATGTTTTCAGATATCCTGCTAGCAGATGACCTACTTAGTTGTAGTTATTAAAATTGAGATATAAATAAAGTCACTTCACCATCCAAGTACGAGAAAATCAATATTCACCACAGGAGATTTGATCACTTTTGGAATTGTGCAGAACCAAATTCTGCAAAACCAAATACACAGCTGGAGTCAAACTGACTGGGAGCTCCAGGGGTACACATTGTCAAGAAATGTTTTCTTTCTTCCTAATTTGCTGTAAGAGATATTCACAACATTCATATATCTTTCTTAAAATACAGGACCAAAGCCACCTTTTATCATTTCAGCAAGATAGGGGTGGACTGATCAAATCGATATCTGTGATAAACACCGTGGGTGTGCATCTCCATGGGGCTCAGCTACTGATTGTGTTTGCATTTTTCCAGATGGTCACTCAACGGAACACTCATTGATCTGGGGAATGACTACCGGCGTCACATGTCTGGGGGCAGCCTGATCATTACCAACCTGGACAAGGACCAAGACACCGGGGTGTACCAGTGCATGGCCTTCAACATGTGGGGGTCCATCCTCAGCAGCAGAGCCAGCCTTCAATTTGCATGTAAGTGATCCTACAATTGCTTACATGTGTCAGGTGT